GGCAGAGCAGACCAATTGCTTCACTTGCCTGTTTTCTATATGGATTTCCATGTAGAAAATGTTTTGAGAAAAATATTTGTGTCCCCAAATTTGCAAACCTTGTGTTCTTCCAGCACCTCTTAGATGGGAGCTGAGAAGGACCCCCTTCTCAGCTACACAAACTCTGAGTTAGGTAGCTTTACCTGGGGTGTAGGCAAGGGCTTTATGTGTCCAATGGCAATGAAGGGGATTTGCACATTTGTGATCAGAAACAGTATGGGATGGCTTTTGAGTGGAGTTGGAAATTTTCACAGCACAGAACCACAAAGCACAAAAATGTCAGCACCACAAAGCGTTAATCCTGGGAGGATCTTTAGAAACCATCTGGTCCATCCATCCCTCCCTGCCCTTCACTGAGGGGAAACTGAGGCCCAGAAACAGGAAGGGATTTGGCTCAGGTCACAAAGCATCAGTAACAGAAACAAGACTAGAACGTGGGTCTCCTAACTTCCTAGACAGTTTTGGCCCAGGCCACTTTCTGGGGAAAGAACAGGGTCGGGGGACAAGGGAAGAAAAAGAAAGGGCTGGGGGCCTAAGCCGAGTCAGACGAGAGGTATGTGGGGCCCAGCTGACTGCTGATAAGAGACCCACAATGCCATTCCAAAGGGATATTTTATCAAGATGTAATTTTTCCCGCTGCAGACACTATTTTCTTTCTCATGCAGACTACGCTGGCCTTCGCGATAAGGCACCTAGACATGTTCACACTAAGGCAGCCAAAACATGAGGCAGGAGGGAAAAAATTCCCTTCTTAATCTCCCCCCCACCCTAGCCCACTCCCCCCGCATTTCCTCTCATTCTCTCCAAGTTCTCATGTGCCCCCCACCCCCACCTCCCCGGGGCTGGCTGGCCTCTTCCTGCCTTCCAGTAAGTCAGCCCAAAGGAGCCAGGAAGGTATGTGGCCTAGAGAAGGTCAAAGGAGACAAGCGTGGCAGGGTCTCCCCTGGGAACAGAGGCCCAAGCCACAGGCTCTCCCACAATGTGCAAGGAATGGCAGCAGTGGGGGACATGTTTTTATGGGCTTCCCCTGAACCTTCTCTCCCCACACCCACAATCCCTGCAAATGGAACACAGAGCTCTCACTGGTTTGGAGGTGATTAGAGCTTCCCCCACCGGCAGACTCCATATTCACCAACCCCCACATCTGACCTCCTAATCCAAGGCCTGATGGGAATTTTTGGGGAAGGGGCTACCCTGCCTACTTCCATCAAAAAAATCCCCAGACTTAAGAGATTTGGCCAGGGAAAGAGCAGGAATCCCTCAGTTATTTCTGGACCAGTCTCTTCTGCTCTCTTTAGGCTCTCTTGGCCTCAGTTTCCCCATCTTTCCACCAAGGAAGTTGGACTCAGATGTCCTCCTGGCCCTGACATTCTACCTTGGGCTTTTTCAGAAGGTGACGTTCTATCTGAGGCCTCCTGGGTGCTTGGCAAGTTGGCTGCATGGCCCCCGTGTATCGGTACCCCGCCCCTGCTTTACTCAGGAAGTCCACCCCGCCCTTCACATCTGGATGGAATTTACCCCCCAAAGCAACTCAATTACCGGTGATCTGAGCAGGATGGCTCATGTGTCAGTGGGGGCCCTGGTGAAGGTTGCTCTGCCAGAGATGAGGGTGCCTAGGCCTGTGGGCCACACCTCTCACAGCCAGGGTGCCATCCTGAGGTCCCCAGGAAGACAGGGCCTGGTCACTAGTGTCCTGCGGAATAGGGTGTGGGGACCCAGAACGGGCTGCCACCTCCTGCCCTGTCTTACTCAGGCTCCCTGTTCATTAAGACCTGAACCAGCACATAGAGGCCAGCGGGAGGAGGAAGACGGTATATGACTTTTTACACCAACTGGCCCGGCCAAGTGCCCAGCCGGTAGAGTCTGTGAGGGTGGTAACCTCATGACGTCTCCTTACATGCTGATCCCTGGCAGAGGAGCCTGGATGGAAAAGGCTGGTGCTTCCTTGCCAGGCTGTGATAGTGAGGGTTTGGGGACCCAATGCCGTGTCTTACTGCGCCCGCCTTGGGAAACAAGATCACCCCTGCTGTCTTCCTGTGGCCTCTGCTACATTGGCGAGTGGGGGGCAGTGGGCTTTGGTGTTTCCTGTTTCTTTCAGTCTGCATTTATCATCTCTCACTCTGAACCCATTGCTCATGAACTGTTTTCCACACCCCTCACCATCCACAAACACAAGAGGGCCCCTGAGCCCAGGAGTTCTGGGCCAGAGTGCTCTGTGCACATCAATATAGTGAACTCCTGGGAGCAGGGGACCACAGGGGTGCTTAAGGAGGGGTGAATTGGGTTGGATTGGAAACAGAACGGGTCAAAACCCTCCTGCTCACCAGCAGCAGGATCACACCTATGAGCGCCCACTGCCCTCCAAGTGGCACACACATGGTCATGGGCTCCGCATGGGCCAAGCAAGGCTTGCCAGGCTGAGGAAGCAGTGTGCATGTGCATGTGTGTGTGTGCGTGCGCACACACACACATGCACACACACACGCACGCGCACGCGCACACAGGTATACACACATGCATACACGCACGTGCACATACCACATACACACATGCACGTGCACACACACGACACACACACACACACACACACACACATGCACACACACACACATCACTACCACCATCATCAGAGACTCTCACCAGGACCACTCTAGTATTCATTCCAGCAAATATTCATTAATGCTGATTAAGAACAAAACACTGCTCAGCTCTGAGGTGAGGAGAATGGAAAGTAGCAGGCTGAATCTCAATGCTCTGGGAGCTCATCTCATCCCTCCAGGGGCTCACACTGACCCTGGGGATAGAAAACCCTGACTTCAGAGCCCGTTAAGAGCAAGGGCTGGAGCCTGGCAGGCTCTGCCACATTTGGGCTAGGGGGCTTCAGGCAAACAGCTTAGCCTCCCTACCAGCCTTGTCAGGTGGTCAGGAATGAGCATGCGATGCGTGTGAAACACTAGCACAGAGCACATGCTCCACAAACGGCTGTTTTATTATGATCTTATGAAACAATTAGCATTGAGAAATAATCTCTCACTTATCTGGAAACCTTCCTATTGCAGAACCCAGCCCCCTTCATATCTTTTATATCACGTAATCACCATAATTCAGTGAAACGGTTATCTCCACTTTACAGAGGAGAAAAATCGCATCCCTAAAGAGGGGACCTCACACAACTGTTAGTGGCAGAATGAAGCCAAGAACCCAGTTCTCCAGCTCCTGCATCAAAGCCCCTTTTTCATGAAAGACTTGGGGTGCTCTGCCTGTCTACTCTGACTAAAACATAGAGACACTTTATGGTTACATGGCGCTGCCAGTTTTGGGACCAGGGCCGGGGCTAAGTGGTGAATGAGCCCGCGGAAGATTCTGAGCGTTCACTCTGGCATGAGGACGTCCTGGTTGGAAGAGCAGCCGCATTCCTTACCACCAGGGTGGCCTGGGGAAGCCACTGGACCTCTGAAGCTTCTGGCCTCAGTTTCTCCCAAATGGGGAGAAGAGGTCTGCAAAGGGGGAGGCTCTTTCTCTACCCTGAGCCCCAGGAGGGTGTGGATTTGTCTCACGGTAACCGATGCAGCCGCACGGGGCTTGGTGCACAGCAGAAACTCAGTCAACACCATCATCATAAATTGTTCACATTTATTATGGGCACTTACTATGCATCAAGCACTGAGCTAACTGAACGGTTAGGCAGTTGGTGAGAAGGGACTAAACTGTAACAGAAATGGGGAGCTGAGGCCACTGCTGGGGGCGGTGCAGTGGGGGAAACTGCGACAAGGAGGAAGGCAACCTGACCGGAGGGAATTGGGGAACCAAGCATGCCAGCAAAGCATGCCAGCAAGCACAGACTTGGAAGACCCAGGTTCAAGCTTCCGCTCCACCATCATCTTGCTGTGTGACTTCGACCAAAGCCCTCTCTGGACCTCAGTTTTTCCTCCCAGAGGACAGATAGAAGGCACAAGAGACCTGGAGCCAAGCTATCAGGGAGGGAGGTTCCTGCACCTGAGGCCTCCAGGCCTGTTGGGATCTGCCCGCCTGAAGGGGATTTCCTGGGGCCGGCCCAGTTCCCAGCCCTGCTGACGTCTCCCCTGGATGGGTGCCCAGAGCTGGGGGGGGGGTGCCCAGAGCAGCCGTCTAGTGGGAAAGACAAGCAGGCACTCTCCCAGACCACACCTCAGCCCTCCCTTTGGGGGCCCTAGGGTCTCCCCACCCCCAACCCTGAAGTGGGGAAATGGGGGGTTCCCCCTGTTGAAAGAAGAAGGCACTGCCCGTTGGTTCAAGATCCTGATTTGCTGTGTGACCTCAGGCAAGTCCCTGCCCCTTTCTGGGCCTTGGCCCCCCCCCCGTCTCTGCAAAGAAGAGGGCAAAGATTTTTCAAGCTCTTTCAGAACTCTGATACTCTAGGATCCTGCCAGGAGTTGGGGGGTCCTGGGAAAGAGAATTGGGATGGGGGGCTTGATTCTAAGGGCTTGCTTTTCCTGCTATAGAGCAGAAGGCAGAAGGGGTGGAGGGAAGGCAGTGAGAGAAAAGGAATCTCGAGGCCTCCAGGTGGCTGTAAGAGGGGGCAAGGCAAGCCTGAGTTTTTGGAAACATATTTATTTTTAAGTGTCCGGTGTCACTGGGAGCTTTTTCTTTGGGTTTTGAAATGCTCCAGAAGTCAGCACTCTGCATGTGCGTGTGTGCCGAGCAGAACATGGGCTGTATTTATTCATCTTTTAGCCCGAGCCCTTAAAAATATAGACGGCTAATGTCTTCAGTATGTATGAAATATCCCATATGCTCGGAAACAAAAGGGGCTCTGTTATTAAAGTTTCATTTCCACACGCCCCCTCCCCTCCCTCCCG